TATATATATATATATATAATTATTTTTTATTTTATTTATTTAAATTTTTACTACAACTATATGATATGTTGTTGTCTTTTAGTATATTATTTTTTTTTCCAATTTTTATTCACAGATGCTGCAGGAAAAGGTGTTCGGGGTCAGATGAAACCACGGAGACAGGTAAATTTTTGCATCATTATATGATTTGAGTGTGTTTGTGTCCGAGTTATTCATATTAGTGCTGCACAATATATCATTTCAGCATTGATATCGCAATGTGCATATCCGCAATAGTCACATCGCAAGATATGCAATGTTGAGACTGAGTTATAGTTGACAGTAAGGCTGTGCTATTTGGAAAATATCTAAGTGCAATGTTTTTTGTTTGTTTTTTTTGACAGAAATTGCGATTTTGATTTGATTTGCGATTTAATTTAGTAGTCATGCTTTAGCTCAATATTCTGTATCGCAGCTTCTAACTGTGTTAGTTAAAAAAAAGGACTGAAAAGATATCAACCTGCCTAAACATTTATTCAAATTTATTATTTAAATATTCAGAAATGAGACACTCGTTTTTCTCTAAACACAAATAAAATGACTTTATCTTTCTGTAAACATGCTGAACTCAAATAAGGGAGATAGTGTAGCTTATTATAAAGCAAGAAATAATAATTATGAAAATAAAGGAACACTCAGCAAACGAACATGGCTGAAACAACGCTGAAGTTGTACTTTGCTGTTGCTTGCTACTAGATTGAGTGTCACTGGCAATACTTTCAGACAGTCATCACTCAATTGTGCTTAGTTAGTTAGTAAGACTACAACATACAGACAGCAGTCACGCATATGCTCTGGGCAGGGAAATTTAATTTAATAATACAAATATATTTCATATCGCAGCCTCTCGCGATTAGCTAATCACAGCATTTCAAATCGCGATTGCGATTCGATTAATTGCACATCCCTAGTTGACAAAGCTAAAGAACACGTGATTTGTAGAGTCACTGCTAAGTTAAACCAAAATAGAGTGAAGGTTTATCATTTGCATGTGTTTTTAAGGCTTGTGACTGAGCAGTTCGAGAGCGTTTTAAACATTTGGGCACAAAATATGATGCAACAAAATTAATTGTATTTATTTATACAGAATTTAGACAGAAGAATTTTTGTCTTCTAGTCCAAATATCTACATTTCAAAGCAAAAACAAGAGTATTTACTTACCCTAATGACAGATCATTTTGCTTGTGTTAAGGAAAACCTCTTATTCTTCCTTCTGAAGGTGAAAATAATACAGTATTTGTACTTGATTAAGAATTTTTCCAATATTTGGACTAGAAAGGAGACAATGCAAATAAGAGAAGCCTTTTTTTGCATTGTTATTACTGTACCTGAATAATGTTAGACTCCCCAGAAGACTGCCAAATAACGCTATTCATCTAAATCTGGATTCATATCATAATCTTTTAATTGCAGAAAAATTAATTATCGAAATATCAGATTTTTCTAATATCACGCAGCTCTAATTCATGTAAGATCTTTGATAATAAATCATATATTTGTCACTCAGGCTGGTGAGCCCCGGACGGAGCGGATGGCTGTGGATCAGGACTGGACTGCGGTTTATCCCACCGCAGCATCATTTAAACCCTCTGCCGTTCCTCTGCCAGTGCGGATGGGCTATCCCGTCAACAGAGGGGTCCCGCCGGCTAAACATGGCAAC